TACATACATACATATGTATGTGTATACATATACACACACATACACGTATCTGTATATATGTAGATTGTAAATCCCTCTATATGTATTTATTGAAACTTCATTTATTTATCTAGTTGTATATACACTACGACTATATTGCCGAATGAAGAACTTGTAGTTGAGGGATTTTGGAGTTTCGGTGCAGTGCACCCCTCAAACCGTAGCTCTGCAAACCAGAGGTCCTTGACCTAACATAGGGGGCCTTAATAATTAGCATAGGGTTCTGGGGCCCATGATACTATACTTATAATGAGGAACCATGGAAATAGTATTGCCCGTTTTGGAATTATTGTTTAGGCCCCTATATTAACAAGTGTCCGGCCGCAACCGCAAAACACCATAAAACCGCTAACCCAGCAGGTCCTCGTCCACCTTCACCTGCTGCTCTTCCGAGAGGGTGAAGAGGCGCGCCAAGGCCTGGACCCAAGGCTCCACCAAAGGATTGAAGGAATGCGGGTTCAGGGGATATAACGCTTGTATGAGGGCGTTAAGACATTAAGAGCCTATAGGAAGTTCTGGACTTCGCTGCAGAGAACTACAGTGAGGAAGAGCATGTGATGAAAGTCGGGGCTTGGGATCTACTCTACGTTCTTACTCTTTCCTAGGATGTGTTTGGGCAGGGGCAACGTTTGCTTCTGCTTCTTGCTTTCAGGTTTCGGTTCAGTTTTGGAGTGAAGTAATGCGCTGGCAGTTGCCCGCAACTTACGTAAAGCCCCATGAAAGCTCTAAAGTTAAAGCACTGGAGTCTAAACTCTATCGATTCGGGTACCGGCTCTCCAGCCTTCCTGTCTTGCTCATCCTCTGCGTGGTTGACTAACCTGCAGCGTGAAAGCTTTGGAACTGGGGGGTTCAAGCCCAGGATAACTTGTCAGGCCCGAACCCTAAACCCTAAACCCCTTTTCAAGCGCTTCTTGAGCATTCAGGCTTGGGAAAGCAGACTCATCTTGTCGATGTGTCAGGTCGAAGGACGCAGGGCTACAGGGTTTGGGACGTTAGGCATGTTCGAACCTGTATACCAAAACCAACCCTGAACAACATACACACCCTGAAACCCGAAACACTTCAGCATCTACAAAAGCCTACCCCCGAATCTACCTACGTACAAAGATGCATGCACGTGATCATGCATGCTCGACAACGGTTTGCAGCCTTTGCTTGCCTGCTACACAAATACTCGCCAGGGTTGGCGGTCTAATTGAACGAGGAAGCTGGGCTGCCTCCTGGGGTCATCATGAGTATGATTGTTGTGCCGAAGAACCTCAAACCCACAGTTACCCTATACCCATACCTGAGAAGCCTGAAACTACTGAACTAGCAGCTGTTCGTCTTCGAGTATTGCTGCATTTCCTGGCTCGCAACAAGATTAGCCCTTAAAATATTAAGGTGCATTAAGTGTAGGATTATTCTGCGACCCAAAAAAGGCTCAAGCTGGCCACCTGAAGCCTAAAGTCATAGAGTCGCCTTACAGCCCTCTAATCCAGGCTCCCCCTTTAAAGGGAACCCTCAAAACCCTCTAAGTTTCCTCTGACAAGGAGCCCAAAAGCCCCCTCCAAGTTTCTGCTTCGACCAAAGGCCAGGCTTATGAACAATTGCTCAGCTGAGCCCTTCACTTCACATCCACGCTCAGCGACAGAGCCGTGTTCTGCTCGATGATCATGGGCTGACGACGAAGGATGGTCTTTGAGAGTTCAGGGTTTAGGGTTAAATTTTGGGGTTCCAGGGTTTCGGATAGGGTGTGGCTACAGAGTTCGGCACTGGGGTTTAAGATTCAGGATAAGGGTAGCGGCATGTTCTGTGATTTGCGGGTTATAAGTTTGGGCCAGCCATACTGAGCCCAAACCAACAAAATCATCATCATGATTCCGCTAAACCCTAAACCCTAAACCCAGGGGGTTCTGACCCTGAGCCAGGCCCTACACACCCCAAAGCCTAAAGCCGAAGCAGCCGAGCAAGGGTCGCCCATGCGATCCCAGGCTTCGGGCATATTTGATTTTAAGTTTAGGGTTTAGGGTTTAGGGTTTAGGGTTTAGGGTTTAGGGTTTGCTCTGGCGACAGGGTAGGCTCGCGGTTTGGGACGGAGCTTGTGGAAAGCCAGCGCCTCTTGCAGACCCTGAATGAAACCTTGCACCCGGAATCTTAAACCCCAAACGCAAAACCCTCAACACCCCCAAACCTTTAGGCCCTGGACTCTGACCCCAAAGACCTTCTGAACCCTGAAAACCGCAAACCCTTTCAAGCCTTGATCGAATCATCGTAGACCTTGCCCGTGACCTGCGGCTGCGACAGGGAAGAGGTCTTCTCACACTGGAGAAAAGCCAAAGCTAGGAAGTCGGAAGGATTCAGGGCTTTCGGTTTGGGGTGTCTTGAGCTCAGAGCTACTTCATGGTCCAGTTCGTCCCGTCGATCCCTGACTGCTTTGCTACTTTAAGTTCGAGCTGCCACCATTTAGGTGGAGCCTCATTCTGAAACATGAGCCCTCAACCGGAGCAGCTACACTTGATGTTCAGGTGTTTGGGGCCCTGTTCTGTCTCTGCACAGAATTGAAACAGTTTGACTTTCGACAGGCTGAATGGGACTAGACACCTTCAGACTGATCCATAAAACCTGAACCCGAATCCCTAAGCCGCCTAAATTCTCCCCAAGCCGTAGACCCTCCCCTCAACCCACAACTCAGCATGTCTGACTTCGCCACTGCAGACCATTTCGTGCTGGTTACTAAGGTCTCTATACCAGTCCTATGTGCAAGCAGCACAGTTCCCCTGGTCCAACAGCAGCGAACCTTTCGATACCAAGCAGGGTTGCAGTTCGTACTTGTTAGTTAAATTCAAAAGAAGTTTTCGGAAACGTAAGAGGTCTTCAATGTACAAAAGATCTACCATGCATGCACAAACCTCAAACCCTCGCATGTCCAAACCTCCGCGCAACAACCGCACGCTCAAAACCAAAACTGGGTTAAGGCTTGGGGTAGGGCTCGGGCTTTTGAGGATTCCTCTTTCGGGTCTCGAGCTATTAAGGATTCAACGGCATCCGCATGGCCTCGCGTAGCCAAACTGCTGTCAAATTGTTCCGCTCGTAATCCGCACCTGGGCATGTGTCTTGAAACTTCTCTACTTGTGAAGTAGCACTCTGATGCTTAAGTCCAACGCCTCACAACCTTCTTCCCACGTGTGCACAACATTTCGTCTAAAGCCCTTAGACCATACAACGCTTCACACTTAGAACCCGTACTGCAACCCTGTCTTCAGACTTCCATACAAGTCCAAACCTTCAGAGTGGAGCTTTTAGTTCAGGGCGCTCCAATAGCCGGGCCGTCATGCATGTCCGAACGGAAGCTTTAAGTCTTTAAGTGTCCCGGAGGCGACGCTTTCTACACGACTGACACGGCACCCAAGCCCCCCTCCCCGAACCCCAGGACCCTTAAGGTCCCTAAACCCTATAAATCCTGCAGACGCCTTGAACCGCAAAGTCCCAAAACTGATAATATAGGGGCCTTAATACTTAGAATAGGGTTCTGGGGCCCATTATACCCAAAATATAATAAGGAACCCCCAAAATAGTTTAGGTAACTATTTAGGCCCCTATGTTAACCCGAAGCCCCCACCCCCTAAATCCCTCGGCACCAAATCCCGGCTTCTCCGCCCGGAGCCTGCACGTCGGAAGCCGCCTTCTGAGGAGGCGCCGGGTGGCGTAGGGAGGAGGTAGCCGAGCTCCTGGCAGGGGCGTTTCTGACTTCGAGGATCTTAAGGTTTTGAATTTGAGGCTTCTTGCGCTTCAAGGCTTTAGGATTCTAAGGGTTTAGGGCTTAGGGTTCAGGGTTTAGGCTTTCGGATCCTAGAACATTGGGATTTTTGAGCTTTAGGCCTCAGCGCTGCGGAGGTTTCCTAATCCAAAGCTCATGCCTCGGCTCGTTCGGGCCTACTTTCTCCTGGGACCTTAGGGGTTTTAGGGCTAGAGTTTAGGGTTTAGGGTTTAGGGTTTAGGGTTTAGGGTTTAGGGTTTAGGGTTTAGGGGACCCCCTGAAACACTGCAGCAAGGAGACCTCATCATAGGGGCCTCAGTAACTCACATGGGTAGTTCTCCAAATCAGGGTGCCTTTTTAGGTCCCCAATATAGTACGGCACCCTCCTAAAAGGGAACCCTAAAAAGGACCCTAATTTGGAGAATTACCCACATAGGGCTTCGGGGTATGTTTCTATGAAGGAACCTTCAGGAATAGCATTGGTAATCACTCAAGCCCCAACATTACCCAAAAGAAGGAGCGGGACCCTGCTGTAGATGCACGGGAGATGTTGACAAATTGGGGCGGGCAGCTATGCAGATAACTCGAAGAAGTGTCATTGCAGGGAAAAGCCTCGCCGTTTTCCGACAGAGGGGAATTGGGGATTGGGGTGAAGCCTCAATGAAGCTCGGGGGGTTGTCTGATCGCTTCGTGAGTTGGAGGGTTTGACAGTTTCATGGTATTCTTCAATCCCGAGGCCCTGGAGTGATTGAGAAATTGAGGGTGTTTAGCGGCTGTAGGGTTTCGGGGCCCTGAGCACAGCATGGCGCTTAAACACTACACCTACACTCTGCTCTCCTTGACCCCAAAAGTCCACACCTATAACCTGAACTCGAATATCCCCCCTAGCCCTAGACCCTAGACTAAACCCCAAACCCGAATCAGCGAGCTTAACCTATACCCTGGACCTTTAGCCCAAACTCCAACCCTAAACACTACCAGCACCCCTGAGCCCAAAACCGCAAAATTCAGAAACCGATAACCGTCCACAGGCCGTAACGTTTCACTGCTATGTATGAACCCGGAACCTCCTATTTCTGCCACAAAACAGCTACGGCTCCTTCATATCCACCTGGTTTGGGAGGTCGCCGTCCTCGGCCTCACGAGTGAGACTGCTTAAGAAAGGCTTTAGGGCTTCGGGCTTGGAAATTGAGGGCTTTGGCTTAGGGTTTTGGGGTTTAGGGTTTGGGCCTACCTAGGATTTGGGCTCACTTTCCGGGGCAACGACTTCAGCACAGGCTGTGGTTGAAATAGCCGTCTTCCGACAGCCGAAAAGGAGGATTGGGACCAGCATAAGTCGAACAAGGTTCGGCTCGGGTATGAGCTCGTGTTATAGTTACATAAGGCATAAGGGGTGCTGGTTCCAAAAAAAACCCAATTCTCTTAAAACATGCCGTGCGACTTAGTGGGGAAAGCCAACAATCCTGCGCAACACAGCAACAACAGGCTCCTACCCAAAGCCCAGATTTTCAGAAAGATTCCCCCGCCTTCTGTCTCTTCACCTCCTCATCAATACCGTCACGCTCCCTGGCAGAGGACTCGTTGTGGATTCGTAGCTGTTGGTTTGGGGCTCTGTGCTTAAAACTTCCGGTTCACTGCCCAAACATGTGGAACTCCCAACTATTTTCGAGCTTGTAGACCTTAAAATTCGTAGCCGTAGCCCACATTCCTCAGCTTACAGGCTCTGTCACGAAACCGGCGGACACCCACTTCCCGAGACCCGGCCTCGGGCCTATGGAAACTTGGGCCTCGCGTCGTCGGCAACGGCTTGAGAATCAAGAAACCGAACATAAACTCCACACAACTGCTGTAAGTAAGAAGACATGTAATATAGGCGCCTTAATCATTTGAATATGGTTTTAAGATATATTATACTATAACTATAGTAAGGAACCCCCAAAATATTTTAGGTATTTTTTTAGGCTTCTTCTCTTAGATCCTAAGCAACCAAACACTGTGAGGATGGTTTTCATGGGGTTCTACACAGAGTTCATGAGTTTTTTGCGAACTCCCAAATCCCCAAAACTGTGCAGGGCAGGCCCCTCCAGCTTGCCGTGTAGACCTGGGAGTAAGAACTGTCCGGTCTAACGGATTGGAGACAGTGGGAATTGGAAGTTGGGAGGTTTGGTTGTAGAAGTTTTAGGCTGCAAAGCTTCAAGGTGGCTGCCGCCCTCATGTTTTTGCGCACGTCCCGCTCTTTTCGACTTGACCTGCTTTCTGAAGGGGCAGTGCGAGCTGCGAAGGAGGTGGGGGTGGGGTGGTTGCATATCACCCCTGAAACATCAAGCTACGGTACGTCTTGTACACATATGGCCACACATATTCAGCTAAGTCGAATGCTGGACCTTCGTCCCACACAAGTTGCAGTGTCGCAAACACCCCAACGCATGCCAACATCAACTCTCGATACTCTCGACTTGTCAGCGTGGCAAAGGCCTGCGTTTCGGGCTCATAAATTATGACCAACGGCCTGAAACCTCTTATATCTACTGTACTTCTATTGGGACTGCGAGGGGGCATTGTTGACAAATATTCAGCAGACCACTATGGTGGCCTATAGGGCTGCGGGTGGCAAGGCTAAGAGCTTTGGGGAAGTATGATTTCGGACGAGGTTCTTCTGTCCAGGCACTAGGCACAAGCTCCCCAAATCTCATCTAAATGGGCTGCGTCTAAACTCGAAGCCCAAACTGCATAACTCTACGCCTCATGTAACCCTGAGGATCCCTAAACATGGTGTTTGCCTCAGCAACGGGACACACGACCCCCAGCTCAAACCACCAGCCAAATTACCCAACTCCGTGTCTTGGAAAGGGAGTATGCAGGCAGCATCACGAGCATCGGCAACACGAACATCACCGTCATCCCGTCGAACCAACAGCCGCTGAATAGTCTTCCTCTTAACACGGTAGAGCGGCCTGAACGATGGACCATTGCAAAAGGTCCGCGGCAAACTGGATACTCGATCTCTCCATCTTACTGTCGGAAACACAGACATGTGATGAGCCTCTCATCGTCCTTGCCCGCGATTTTTCCCACTCTACGGTTCCATATAAGTGAATGTCCCCCTTTGTTGTGCTTGTTGTGCAATTCATACTCGAGATCATCCAACCTAGATGAGGCTTGACTCCACCCCTCACCCGAAACCCATCTTTCCGTCGGTGCATCTTTGTGCACACAGCGCTGTGATGTGATCTTCAACCTGATGTGCTTCAGACGTGCCACATATTGATCATACTTCCTGCAGTAATCGCCAGGGTTGCCGACTCTGGGTGCAAGTAGGTGACCATTTTCTGTATATTCACCGGCACCGGCAGGGGTGTCATCTGGGTCTGGCTCTTGAATACACAATAATTCCTGATGCGCGCGCTCTCCTTCATGAAAAGATTTAATGTGCTTCTGCCAGATGGTGGCTAACATACGGTGCATTGCGACACTTTGTATTTTTGTCAAAGTACACAACATGGGAACGATGCCAGCATACTTGGTGCAAACTGGAAGAGTTTCGACGTCCCCTGACATCATTGCGAGGAAGGGTATTGTGTCATGCACTTTGAGACTGCATTGCCAAGAGACACGTAGGACCGGTTGTTGTGCACTGCAATCGCTATGACTTTTACCCGTTTGTCGGTTGTGTCTCGCAGTGGGTTCGTTGGTAAGCAAACCACCAGCAAAAAGGCAACGTAAGACTGAAAGCTTGGCACACGCATCACCAACAATAGGACCATCATACTCCAACCCTTCACCACCCGATGTCCTGGCTTCGAGAGGCCAACTGACGCAGCTCATTCTGATATTGCATCGTTCTGCAAACATCCACATCTTGTACATCACAATAGTGTTCACCAGAGCATTCAGTAGCAACCACACACATGAGTCGCCATCGCCACATTTCTCGTAAATCATGTGCCCATCTCGCCTCGTCAAAGTCTGTCAAAAGTTCGTGGACTGCGGTGCGAAAGATAGGAATGCCATAAAGTTGACTAAGACGAATCATAGGACCATCACTTTCATGACCCTTGCAAGCCCGAAAACGTTTTCTCTTGCAACCGAGAAGTGTGCGAAGGCCGTGGTATTTATGCCCAAACAGCGGGCCCAGCTGCGCAGGCAAAAGCAATGCAAAAGTCACATAGGGACTCATGGAGAAACAATCGGCCAGCCACGTAGTACGCCTGATGGTGGAACGTCCCTTCTTGAGTTCATGCTCGTCAGCTTGAAATGTGTGTCTGTGTGTGCGTCTGCACTGCCCATACACTGCATGGGTTGCAGTGGCAACAACCGTCTTGGATTTGTGTTGCCATATGTAAGGGAATGTGTTTTGAAGGCAAGACGCTTTTTCTCGACCTGGGTGGGGCCCAACATCTGAAGCCTGAGATTTGGAGGACCCTCCAAGGATCTTGAACACAGCCCTGAAGAACTCCATTGGCTCATTTCCACAATGAGCTGCATTAACCCGGGAGGCTGTAAACTCGCTGCATTTGGTTATAAACACCTTGAAGTGGCAGCAATGCTCGGGCAGTAATGCCGCGTTTCAACAGGCCACGAAACATGACATCGTGTGGTACAACATCCAAAGGCCTTGGCAAAGTCATAGGATAGTCCAGCAACATACCCACCCCGTCTCCGGGTATTCATACGAAAGTGCCTCAACGTGCTTCGCGATGCACATTGCAATGCTTTCAGTTCCCCGTTTGGGCATACACCCGTGCATACCTTTAGGCGCCCATTGTGTTGGCCATGTCCAATGTATATAAGACATTCTTGAAACCGGAAGCCACTCCACAATCTGTATACAGCTGATAGAACGCTTAGTGGTGTAAGCGTGCCCGGTCCACCATCGGAAGTAGAGCTTTATTTTGGTGACAAGGCCACGTAGCCCCTCACAAGTGATTGAGGCCAGTGGCCATGCCTGTGGAGGTAACTGTACATTGCACCGAGACCTGAAAAGAGAGCAGGATACCTTAGATCAAAAGACCGTAAGGACTCGGGCCTCCAAGTGTCGGGTCCTTCGCCGCTTGGCTTGAACGACCCTGCAAACTTAACAAGTGCCTCGGGGGTGATGTCATGGGCATTCATATGATGGGATTTCATGTGCGCGCCAAAGAAGTTCACAAAAGCATCACCATCCGCAGTGTTGTTTTGGAACTTGTTCAGATATGGTTTCCACTCCTCATGAATAGCAAGCAATTGCTCAGCAATGTTTGCTGTAACCCGCCCATCCGGCAACTTCATAGTAGCAGGTACGGGGTGACGTGGCCACTGGTATTGCTTGCTGTTCACTGGACTGTAGACGTCTCCAGGCAGCAATGCGTTTGTCACATGCGGTTTTTGGTACCCGAATGTATGTTTCACGAAAAACGGAATCCTTCAGAACAAGGTCGTTGTCCAAGCACTGTTTTTGCCTCATTCAGGGGCATCCAACCTTTCGCATGTTTGTTAGGAGAAAGCTTTCAAGTGCCACCGATAAGCCGAAAGGTCCGCTTATGACCCGGGTCAGATGGGAAAGGTCCGCGCAACGAGTGGTGACCGGAGGTGAAGGATTTGGTACAATCGATTTTGATGCCAGACCGGTAACGAATTGGTGAATGTGTGCCTGAACAACAACGACCTGCGCACGGACCTGGCGAGGGCGAGCACCTTTGGCACAGCCAGAGATATCATCGGCATAGGACTTGGGGGCAACTGCAGGGAGCGTCGTCTGAAGCTGCTCATGCCAACAGGAAACCATGGAAAACAGAACAAGTGTAGACAGGGGACATCCCTGCATAAGACCGTTGACCGGCCGGAAGAGTTCATCGTACTGACCCATCCCTGAGGATCCTTAAACCATAAATGCCCGACCTCAAGCACAAGCCTTAAAGTTTTAAGGTCTGACTATAACTGGGTTGCTGATAAGGAGACAAAATAAGTTACTATAACAAGGAAACCCTCTTGTTTGCTACGCATCCACATTGTGGTAACTTGAATTAAGTTCCTTAACAGCAATCCAGATAAGGCGTAACATGAACCCGCAAGTGCTGGGGGCTGGGCAAATGAAGCAGAAGCGGGCGTGCTTCGGATTCGCATGGGTGTGGGGCACCTGACGAGGCGTACGCTTTAGAGCCCAAGCCCTAAACCCAGAATAAAAATAATGAAAATAATAACAAATATGTAATACATATAGAACAATGATAGTGATAATAATAGTAAGAAGAAGAAAAATAAGAATAATAACGACAAGAAGATTAACAATAAGAATAACAGAAAGAAGAATAAGAATAATAGTAATAAGAATAAGAATAATAAGAACAATAATAAGAAAACGAAGAAGAAGAATGATACAAATCAGAGTAACAATAACGATAATATATATATATATACATATGATAATGATATATATATATATATAATGATAATGTTAATAAATAATAATAATAATAATAACAACAACAATAATACTAATCATATTCATTCTCCAAAACCCTAGGTTCAGGTCTGGATGCCTAGGTTTTGGGGGTTCGAAGCTCATGTTCTTTAGTCTGTGCTTCAGG